TTCCGACCGTGAAGCCGAGTAGCTCAACTTAGGCCGGGCTCCGTTCTGTAAAAGTGCGCACTCTTGATGGTAGTAAGGATGTGCGGGGAGCCAGACGTCCTATCAGTTGGTTGTCCCTGATTGTGCGGCGCTGGGCGAACCCGCAAAATGTGAACCTAAGTGGTACCAAAGGTGACCTAAGATGACCGTTGATCTGGTATGCCTAGGTTTATGTTAGAAATAAATTCTCAGCTGGTTGAAATCAATTCGAATCACTGTCTCTCCCGGACAGTGAGAAACTTCGCTAGTCCCAACATTATAGTAACTGTGTTATGGAATATGATGGTTCAGTTGAACATGGAATTACTACACCGGCTATGGTTACTATTGTATGCTACCAAATGTTATACCACATGTTTGGCACATGTTAGATGCTAATCTAGAGATGAATAGCTATAATTAACTTGATGACCGAATTATAATTATACAACTGAGTTAGTCATTTTTTATTCAAAATGTTGTCAAGCTACCTCTACTTATAATGCCTTGCATAATCCTTGGAGTCATTTTATTTTTGGTTTATGATGGGTAAGTCTAGCTGAGTACCTTCTCGTACTCAGGTTTTTGTTCCCATTGTTGCAGATGGTACAGTTTATCACGGCTATTGCAAGAACTGCTTATGTCCCGCCGTGGATGAGGAGTGTGCCCTGGGCAGGCATCGCTTAGTAATCCTTCTTACATGCTTTTGTGGGAGTGTGATCATAAGTTGGCACTGTATTTGAACTATGATGGCAAATGTTAGCTTCAAACTTTAATTTGCTTCCGGTACTATTTACTGAACTTGGTTTGTAATAACCTTAATTCGTACTCTGATGAATGAACTATATTTGTGAACTTTATGTAACATGTGATATGTATGTTGAATCATGTATGATCTTGGTTGTATGTTGATGGTTAATCGAGACCCGTCGTGGTACTCGACGGACTACCGGGTTTATATGAGTTCAAGTATGACAGTGCGACCGCTTGCGGGCTGCCATTGTACTTGTGCTCTTATAAATTGGTCGGTTCTGCTACAAGAATGCCGCAGCAACGAGCGGAGTAAGGCGCGGCATCCGGATGGGAAGGACGCCCGTGACCAAGCATTACCAGGGCTACACACGTATGTTTCAAGTGTATGTTCCAAATGTTTTAGCTGTTTCAGACGTATGTTTCATGTGTTTTATTTGGGTGTTGCAATGACTATACATGTATGTTTCAAGAGTATACTGCATATGTTGCAATGGTCGAACGAATGTTGCAGAGGAGAAGAGACATTAGGAAAGAGAAGGGGCGCGGCCGAGATATAGCGCTGTGGGGATAGCGCTACAGCGAGAGGAGCAGCACGGCGTAGCGGGGGAAGGAGCGCGGTGGACTTGACACCGGAGTGCAGCTAGGATGGGATCGAGTCGCGGGTGGTCAAACGCGGATGCTGACGCGAGATGGGTCACGGGCGGCCGGACGTGATTCGCTGGCGTAGGATCTAGTGCGAGGGTGGGGGCGTCTAATGCGACGTGGGTGCACGTGTCGAAGCTGTGTCCGAACACGGACCTAAAACCGGACGTCTGGGCGCTAGCTCTACCGCATCAGAATTGATAGAAATAGGGTGTGCGGACATCCGGACGGCATCAATTTTTTGTACGCAATGTGCCTGGGCTCGTACGGCCCAACAGCTTCGCCGCCCACTTATGAGTACTTGGCTTCTCCCCATTTTCCGTATGTCGTCCGCCCGATTTCCCTTCCTCATTGTTTGCCAAATGCCGCACGCTCGAGTTCCTGCCTCGTTGTTCATGTGACGCCAGCCACCTTCTCCACCTAGCTCGGCGCTAGCCGCCTTCTCCACCTCGCCCGCCCGCCGGTTGCCTCTCTCTCCACCGCGCCCTACCGCTAGCGCTCACGTAGTTTTCTTTCCACCGCGCCCGCCTATTTTGCGCTCCATCTCTGGCGACAACTCCTGCCGGTAGCGGCGAGCAAGTAGCATACTGTCTCTCTATCTCTCTCTACTGCACCCATTTGCCTTCATCCATCAACAAGCCGCTGCTCACGGATGCCCAGATCCACACTCTCTTTGGATCTAGGGCTGCGATTGCTCATGTTCTAAGCTAGGACACCTTGTGGTGCTCAAGGACGTCCAGATCCATACCCTCCTCTTTGCATCTAGGGCTACAATTGTTAAACATATGGTTTTTGGAATGTTGTATTTGTTATTTTTTCAATGTTGCATCAGGAGATTTTTCTCACGTTTCCACAACAAATTCAGATGTTTCAGTATATGGTCTCTCATGTTGCTGCAACAAAACTAGCATGTTGAGTTACATGAATGTTTGGTGTTGCATTAAGCGGTGATTCCTTGGTGTTTCAGTAAGCAATTATTTTCTCATGATGATTAGAGATGTTTCATCATCTTTATTTTGATGTTCCAGTAGCTCACCATTGGATGTTGCATTTTGTTGATTTTCTATGTTGTAGCAGACTGAGATGTTACAGTAAATGATTTCTCATGTTGCAACAATAAAATTGAGATGCAAAACTGATGATTTGCCTGTTGATTAACATGTGTTGCAACAAAAACATTTTATGATATTTCAAACTTGGCCTTTATTTCGATGTTGCAATATGTGCTTTTGAGATGTTGCAGTAGCAATTCATGGATGTTGTTGCTAATGTCTTGATTTGTTTCATGAATTTTCTTGCACAAAAACGTGCTGCAATGAGGTAGAAACTAACCATTTTTCTGATGTTCCTAACTATAGCTTCTATTGTTGAGATTGAAACATTTTGACGTTGCAAACAGAGTCTTTTTTTGCTATGTTGCAACATGTGCTTTTATGATGTTGTAATAGCAACTCATGGATGTTGCGGCTGATGTCTTGTTTTGTTTCGTGAATCTTTTTCATAAAACAAGTTGTGATGGGCCAGAAACTAATCATTTTGTTGCTATTCTTATCTCTAGCTTCTATGAGATTTTATCGGTTTATGCTGCAGTGACAAATATTTTTCTCCATCTCTCTCTCTCTCGTGCGTCTGATGTGTGTGGCAGGAACACGACAACACGAGAGCCCAACCCGTCGTAGATGCCACTCGAGCCTCCTTGCGTCTGTCAGGCATGGCGGGGATGGGGGCGCGACGTCGTGCTGCGCGCACTCCTATGTGGAGGAAGTCGCATGGAAGGCACAAAGAAAGGTGCAGTATCTAAGCGTCCGACGAGGGCCAGGTCCGGACACAACTTGTTGTATGTAACATATTACCTCTGTTACATACAGCAGTCACCACCATCTAGATTTAATCGTACTCCAAACAAGTGACCCCAATCTTCCGGAGATCCGTGAGGCTGTCGTTTCTCTCCTTTTCTTTTATATAAACGAGATTACTCAGCGCTTATATTGGAAGCAATAAGCTAGGTTTGTAGTACAAGAAGTAGATGCCGGGTTTACTATACCAGCTTAACAGGAACGAGCAACAAAAGCAATAGGCAGCAAAAGAGAAAAGGCCTAAGAAGTAATTGCCCTTTTACACCAATACTAAATTTCTCCAACATCGAAGATAGACACGCACAACATTTGGCTCCAAGCTGTGAAGGTGGTTAAATAGTTTCTCCACCATGATGCCTAGTTTTCCATGATACATTTGCTGCTAGCAGGGTTCGTCACTTTGCAAGAAAGCAATACCGGTGAATACAACATCCATTTATTTGGAAAGGAATGCTCAATCGGCATCTTGTCATCTTGTTTCTGCTATTCCACGTTTAGCTGGTCTGGTATTGATGATTCCTATACCACAATAATCTTTGGGCCTACTCGCGGTCTCTCACTTAGTACTTGAATTCGTTGCTGGAATTTAGCTTTGACATAATCCGTTTTTTTTTTCTCACGAGTTTAGCTACAACAAGTGCCGAGGATTCGATGTAAAAAAATTTTTGCGAACTAAACAGGGCCTTAGTACTTGAATTCGTTGCTGGAATTTAGCTTTGACATAATCCGTTTTTTTTTTCACGAGTGCTACAACAAGGAGGAGGTAAAATCTCATATTGTAAGTGGGGAGTGTGCTCAAACAATTGTTAGTAAGAATTAGTCTACATCCATAAGTTAAATGCTTATTGTTCCAGGGGTCTAAGCTTTTAAGCATTTTGTGTTAAGAATAGCCTTGAAACGACAATGGCGCCGTTCGGCTGATCATAAAACCAGCTGGAAAATGTTGTTCCCGGATGAAAAAACATTGTTCACTCTCTCACAAATTCCTTCAGATTCTTCTAAATTCCTCCAAACGAACAGGGCTCAATGCCTAACAAAGAATCGGATCCGAGATTGGAATGACAAGATATTTGGGGGGTGATTTATAACTGTCCCAACTCCCAAGTTACAATTCAGCATGCTAACACATCTTTCTTTCTCTGTTTACCCCATGCCAAACACATACACTTCACGCTTGTGATAATTAATTCTGAACCCTGATATCCATTCAAAAGAGCACCAAATCAGTTTGAAGCCAACAATTTACTTGTCTGATCCATCTATCATAAGAGTCTCTAACACAACTGACAGCACGGATCAACAGCTCGTTCGGATGGTCACCTGAACAGTGTTTTTTGGATTTTTTTTTTGGATAATTGAATAGTATTCTGTGAGAGAAAATAAGCTAAAACAAGCTGGAACTATACCAGCTGATCAAATCTGCAATGCACCGTGGTAGGAGGACTACATCACTTGACGCCTTGGGGGCCTTGGCGGCAATTAAAAAAAAACAGCAATGACGAACGTCCACAGGTGCTAAAGGCCCATGGCCTAAGGGTCCCCAACTGCCCGACCTGTTAACGCGTCAACAAATACAAAACACGAGAAACCATTTGGGCCCTGCGAATATATTGGTCCCGTTGTGTTAACCATTTGGACATACTACACACAGAGTGGCTAGTACGCATTTGCACGTCTATCTTAGCTGCTGTGCCTGCAACGCGGACATCTGGTGTAGCCGGGCACTGACCGCTAGTGCCCAACGCCGGAAGTGCTGGGAGGAAAGGGAGAGCACACGCCGCCGACGTTGTTCCCGTAGGTGCAGTTGGACGGCTGCGCTGAGGAATCCGTGCCCGACGCCAACTCCACCGCGACGACGACGCGATTGCCGGAGCCGCTGCCGCCGCTCTGCTGCCCCAGCCCCACCACCGGCCGCGCCGCCGCGCCAACAACACCGCCGGAGGCGAGGACGACGACTGCGAGGACAAGAACCACTGCTGCAGCCGTCGACGACGACCTCATGATGGCTGATGGGTCGTCGACAGGTACCAGGCTACCACTACCAGCCAACCAATCGATCCGAAGCACCTTGCACCTTGCTCTAGCTTAAGCGCGCTGCCCGTACTTGCGTGTTTCTCCTACGACTAGGATCGGAGCGCGCTCATGTGATGAGCATGAGCTGTGCTGCGGCGTGTATGCATGGATGCGCGAATGTATAAATACACGCGCGCGCAACGAGGGAGCACGGCGGCTGGATCGGACGGAAGTGCGTGGACGGAGACGAGAGGGAGAGACGTTTTGCATTGTCATTTGACCTTGGATGAACAAGTACTGCTTGCTGGTTTGGAATTATTGGAAGCCGCTGCATTATTTCCACATATTCAGACTTGCAGACTTCATGCGTCCAGCATGTTAGTTCATTCAGTCTAGGAAAGTAGGAAGCAACAACAGGGGGGGCGAATGAATGACCTAATGTTTTCGATCTTTTAATCCGTTCTAATTCCTTTTTTGACTTTTTTTCTTTCTACGTGTCATACTACCGCTGTGCCCTCGTTGTGCTCATGCTTGACTCTGTACTGGAAGCGGAGGACGGACGGCAAGCATCACTTTGGAAGGCAGCAGGGAGTGTGCTCGCAGTCGCAGAGCGAGGTCGGCGAACCTGGGCACGACGACGTGGCTGCTGCCCTGCTGGGCTTGCGTGCCTTGGCAGGGGGAGACGGATCATGGGACGGGCCTAACAGGCTAACTCAGGAGCCCTTTAATTTCGACTCTAGTCTTGCATTGTCCGCGCGCGCACCACCGCAAACTCCGTGCGCTGATGAGCCACCGTCGGCGCCGGAACGCGCACGCTCACGGGTGCCGCGCGGCGGCGCGCGCGTGCGCTGCCTTACGGGGGGGTGTGCCGGTGCCTTGTGCCGTGTGCGTGGTCCACCCGGTGCCAGCGGCAGGAAATGGGGCGGCGGTGAACAAGAGTACGTGGCCGGAGAAGGCGAGTGAGTAGACAAATTTCAAAAACCAACCACTATTTTGACACGGTATATCGGTATGATGCGAGAGCAAAATTGTCTCCTGCAAATTTCAAAATCGACACGCATAAGACCTTTTGTATCAGTACATATTTGGTTGCCCAGGAGGCCCCAGTACAGAGTGCAACGCCAATATATATTCTACCAAAAAGACAAAACCCTCCGTTCTAAAATTTAGAAAAAGAAAGAAACCTTTGGAAATTGTGTATACACACACACAAACACAAACACACGCTGGTCAAATCGCAAGCACTAAAACTCTGCAATGCAATTCCGGTGACTTCACGCGGAATGCTCAGCGCACTTACTTGCATACTCACAACCTCAATCACAACCAGATGACAGCAACCGCATGCACATCACATGTGTTCCACTACAATCAGCTCATCATTATTTACACCCTACAAAAATCAACAGCCGTTAGTTAGCTCAGACCGAGGATAAATAAATAATAAGTACTAACCAAAAATAGTACCACGGGATCAGTGATTCAGTAGAATTCAGAAGATTAAGTTTTTTTTTTTTACTGAAATTCAGAAGATTAAGTTCAGTCAATGGGAGAGCATCCCTGACTGAAACATTGCATTACCTCTGCTACAGCAGCCAGTCGCCACCATCTCCACTTCTCCAGCTAATAATCCTACTCCTTCCAACCGATCCCCATCTTCCGAAGCTCCCTGAGGCTGCCAGCGATGTCGCGGATCAGCTCCTCGCCTTCTTTGCCATTTCTCAGCGAGTTCACACTGTGCTCCAGGAAGCTCAGGTCCGCTTCCAGTGCCATCAGCCTCTCACTGACCTCGGAAATCTCGTCTTCAAATGAAGCCAGGTCATTCTCACTGACCATGGCATGGTACTGCCCCTTGGGGTCACTTTGTTTCGAGTCCCCGGAGCTGTATTCATTTCTTCCTAGATGCTTCTCGAACACCGAGTCATCCATTTCGCCGTCTTCGTAAGCATCATGGCTGCTTCTGACGTCAACTGGATCTTCTTTGCCATCACTGAGCTTTTGCACTGGAACATGCTTGCTATTGTTTGAGAATTCATGAAGCTTCTGCCTCAGCTTCCGCAAGCGTTTCGCGATGTACGTCTTCTCGTCCTCAAAACAAGCGAGTGATTTAATTCTGGAGATGCTAGAACCAGCATGTTCATTCGGACATGAAAGGTGCATTTGGTCACGTATTTCGTTGACGAGTAGCTGATCTTTAAGTTTTATCTTGTAGCCTTCGATCTCAGACTGAAGATTTTGAACAATTCCGATCATCTTCTGAAGGTCGTCACGGTCATACTCGCTTTGCTCTTCCATCATCCTCTGGTACTGCAAGGCTTCCATCTGCATTGCTGCCTTCTCTTCCTGCAGTCTAGTGATCATGGCCATCGTTTGGTTCGCTGCCACCGCTGAAGCGTTTCTTTCTTCCTCCAGCTCCTTCCAAAGACGGCTTATCGACTTGCGATCCAGCTCAATTTGTTGCTTCAGCTGATCAATTGTGCACTCTCCTTCAGCTTCATTTACCATGCTCTCGGAGATACCTGAATAATTCCTATCAAGGGAGAGTGCTCTTGTGATATTGTGAAGTATGGCTTGTTCATGGTTGTTCTGTACAATAGGGCTATCACTGTCAGTTGCACGGGATGCAGTAAGCTGTGACAACAGTGATTTCAAATCTTCATGGACTTTAAGAGAGTTATTCCTTGATCTTCTTTGAGTAAATTCAACTTTGTTTTCATCTGGCAAGGTGTCTGTTTCAACAGATTTAGTGGCTATTGATAACTCATCAGAAGAACTAAGAGCATTGTGCCAAACATCATCTTCAGATTTATCTCCTGGAAAAAGGAAGAGTATCCTCAGCACATGTAAACGAATTATTCATAAACATAAAGGGTAACAGATACTTCAACATATGTGAAGGATATTCCTAAAAAAACATATGTGAAGGATATATAAATGGATAGTTGAGACCTCTTGTATTATAATCTTCAGCAATTTGCTGCCTGTCTTTGTTCGAAAGATCAGTTGACTGAAGGTTTTTGTTGCCATCATCTTGGATGTTGTGCAGACCTCCTGAACTTTCAGAAGGCTGACTATCGCAACCATCATTCTGGACTGGTATCAACCCAGGCTCCTCAGGTAATTTCTCCTCTGAGTTATCATATGGGGGTCTGTCATCTGCAATCTTTGTTAAATGATGGTCCAATACAAAACCTTCCTTCAAATTATCTTGGTCATCCTTGAGAAAACTTCCAACATTACCACCAGGCTGCCAGGGCTCTGATTCAGTGTCAGAGGTCTTCAGCTCACCGTATGCAACATAATTGATCTCATCGATACTCTGTTGGTCTCTTGAAACAACTCTGCAAATCCCCTCGATGCCAATGCCACTAGCTTTGCTTTGAAGAACCACAAAAGGATGTGACTTAACTTGCAATGGTCTTGAGCAACATGAACATAGAGTGTCCTTCATGCCTGGTGCTTCAGTTGCATTATTCCTCAAAGTGAAGTTGTTTCTGCAACCTACATTGTCGATACCGACACCGAGTTTCCCCACCAAGGACCGGTATGTTTCTAGGTTAGATTTCTTGTCAGCGGCAAATGACAGGAGGCAGGCCTCACACATCCTGTGAACATCAACAAGGTTTTGATGGATGTGGCAAAATGCCCATGATGATGCTTCTGCCTTGTGAGAACTGCACATTAGTTCTCGATAAAAGCCCGGCTGTGCCTTGCCTAAGACATGATCCAGCCTCGTGCATATTGGGCATGGGGGTTGCAGCTTGCATAGCTGTGCAAATGTTGTCACCAGATAGGAGAGCAGACCCTCAAGCAGCAGCAGAAGCATCAAAACCCATTCTTGGACTACTGAAGTTAGTAGAGCAGAGAACTGCTGATATCTCCATGGATCACCAGTACTTGTTCTTGAAGCCATGACTTCAACTTGGGATGGAAATTTCTTACTGGATGAATAGTTTGTATATTTCATGTTGGAAAAGAACTGAAAATATAATGTGCGGTTAGAGGCAAAACAATAACCTAAACTCTGAAACTTAAGCCAACTGGCAACTGCAGCACAAGTAAAAAGCCCCATAATTTGATTCAAATTGAACATATCCAACTCAGATTTCCATTTGCAGGGGAGGATTAAGGTTGAGGGTTTTAGGAATGAAACATGTGATTCCATCATGCTAGAGGGGTTCCTAAAGTAAAATCTTCACCACGATTAGCCATGTTATGTCAAAGATTATTCAGATTAATGTAAAATAAGAACATATACATCTTACAGCTTTAATTTAAACTGGAGGCTAATTTATGACCCAACTATATACAATAATCGCACAAGAACACAAGAAGTTCAGGTTGTACTGGATCGGACACAAAACTCAACGGCAAGAACTCAAATGAAGAACCAATTCATTCATACAACCGAAACTTCTAATCCTAGTATCCCAGTACACAATCCGATCAAGCAAACCGGATTAAGTCCAGAACTCCCAATTCGCATCAGCAATTACTTAAAGAAAAGGGAAGATCAAACGGCTTATCTGGCATACCTTCATCACATTTCTAGGTGACCATGGATTTTGTTTGCCTCTTCGGGATACGAGACAGGAAGTGAGGAAAGGAACGGCTTGCTCAGATCTCCCCGACTCCTCCCCCCACTCCGTGTTCCTGGAGCACAACTTGCCAACTACCATGGAACCAATAAATAAACCGAAAATTAAAGGATTTACTTGCATCAATAAATAATTGAAGGACAGGTTAGAAGGTATCAAATGGAGAAATAAAGGTGGGTACCTCTCAGAGTTCGTCATAACAGGCTGTGATAGTACAGAAGATTAGTCGGAGAACAAAATAAACAAATAAACAAAAGAAGAGGCAAATGAGTGCTGATCTTTCATTTTATTTTATTTTATTTTATTTTCAATAAATATGATAGATGGCCTTCTCAATTTACGATTCAAATATGCCATCATGCCCTGTCTGACTTTTTTATATTTTTTTATTTATTTTCTGCCACCGGGTCACACCGACTGAAAAGCCAATCTAACTACAACCAATGAACTAATTGATACCTTGCTCTCGGCTCGACTCATTCCCTTGTCAACATTGATATTGACACGTGGGTCCACGTCATTAGTCAATACTGCTTCGAGAATATTTGGACCAAATTACCCTAATTGGTTTGTCACTGAGACGATAATTGCACTGAGGTTTTGGCTGCATCTTTCCAATATCAACTTGAAACCGACCGTCGATGCAACGAACCACCAGGAATTTTTTACACACCTCAGAAGAAGGCATGATGGGTCTTCAGGATCTGCAGGCACCACCACAACCCTCAACAGGGCTTCCAACCTGGGGATGCATCAAACAGAACAGTGCCATTCCGATAGCTTTTTCAGCTCACAGATCAGTTAAGGCCTCAAGGGCTTCACAGGACCAAAACGCCAGGCTCCCTACAAGGATCCTCAAGTAATTTACATGGAATGTCAAATGGTCCCAGCAACAGAGTTCTTACGAGTACAAGACGAATGTAAGAAAATGGGCAAGGTGCAGCAGCGCGAACAACGTCATTGGCCCTACAGCCTTCTTTTGGTGGAGATGTTGGGTATAAAATAAAACAAAAAATGCATGGAGATGGAAACGGCTAAGAGTTAGGCAATTCGGTTTGTACAGAGACAACCGCAGCACTTGGCTGCTCCATGCTCTTCAGACGGCCTTCAGCTCAGGCTTGACAGATCTAGTTTTGGTCGCCACACCACTCTTTGGCGAGCATTGTACTCTGTTAGCGTCTTTAGAAGTCCCAATGCTGTGACGATGTGACCGGGTAGATGTTGCATTGGTATTTTTCCCCTCAGGTGTCTGTGGTGTATCACTGCAGCTCTTTCTCCTTGAACTTGTAAACTTTGGTGATTTGGCACGAGTAGGAGGCACCTTGACAGAACAGAAGGCAAAAATTAAATTCACCACTAGAACCATCGAAAAGTATAATACTTCACACAATGTATTCATGCCGCAAGCAACAATCATGCATTTCTATTTTTGTCAGGAAAAAACGTTCTCAAATACTATTTGCTCAAGGCTCAAACTAATTATACCCACATCATTATTGGACAATCAGCTTGGTATTAGTGGAACCATGTGTTGTTCAAAAAAGGGGGCACAAAATCTGTCCTTCATTTTAGAATAGTGTGCACATTCCATTCTTGGAATTACTATACCCTCAACAATAACCATGATTATGACATGCAAAAATCAATAAAAGTCTCAGATTCACAGCTACACTTTTTATTGAGAATTAGAAACATGAAACTGGAATTACCTTCTTAAGTTCAGCCTTTGGTGGGGGCCCTTCTTGATAGAAGCTTGGCATGGGTTTCGCTTTAATCACCAATGACTTCCTTAGTTGTTTTAAAGCAACGTCTTGCTCTTCCTACCCAAATAATGAACATTATAAGATTAGTTAATGATAGATAAAGGTAGTAATAGTGCTTTCCATATAGACAGGACTAGAAAACAAAACTAGCACAAACACTTACTAAAGGAAAAGCACAGATGGACACAGTCAATCAGACTACTGTACAATTTGAAAGAAACTGCATATGGTGGTCAATGGCATCAAATAACAATACCTAACTTAGCCCAACATTAACTAGATCTAGATGCATATGATAGTAGATGTCATTCAACTAATCATATCAAAATGAACACATAATTGATTAGATAATCACAACCAAGTCTTGAATTTCTGTTTTGTCTACAACGTGCAGATATTGCTTGTGTACAACTTGGATTTCATTTGAAAAACTTATTGACATTTCAGATTGAAAGACAGAAAATGATTACAATAGCAGGCAGGAAGATTATATAACAGGTGTACATGTGACGAAACTATATAGATGAAATATGTGAAATTTAATAGATCCCATATTCCAATTGCTTGTAGGAAAGATTGAAAGGCATTTGAAACCTCAACAGTTACACATAAAGGAAAACTGGAAAAAGAACAAAGGAAATGAAGAAATAAGACTGGTGCGTAAGTAAAACAGAATGAAGTACTATGTGTTGAGCGAGAATCTTGAGTTTCCATAAATTTTATAAAGAACAGGTAGCATAAAGCTCACTTGTGTGTACCCAGAAACAACTCAATTTGAATACTGTCCTTATTGCTCTTATTTTCAAAGCAATAATTACTATATCGATCAAAAGAATAATATACAAAACTCAAGTGACCTGACCTACAATAGTCTGATTGCAAGAGAGAGATCAGAATTCAGAAGCAAGTTCTTACCTTTTTCCTGGCCTCAGCCTCGTCCTTCTCTGCTTCCAAAGCTTTATGTTTCTCCTCTAATTTTGTGTAGAACTGGGTAATTAACAACACTGTCACTACCAGAACCTTTTTTTGGAATAATAGTGCTTGCTAGTTGTGAATAATCAGCATGAATTAAGCGATCATCTGGAAATAATGCAAGAAACTATACACACACCTCCTTCCTCTTGTCAGCACGGTTAGCACACACAAATGATGGGGCAACGGGAACAGTTGTCTTAGTTCTGCCAGCTCTTGTTGATGTTGTAGTTCTTTACACAAGCTCAGGAAAAGGGCCACATGCAACTCTGAACGCTTGTAAAATTCATGTGTTTCTCAATTTAAACATTTAACTATGAAAATGGGCATCATCATGAAAAAATATTGAGCATAAGAAAATATTGTAAGTTCAGTGGATACAGAAAAGCACCGTTTAGACGATGCTTTCATGTTCAAAGAAGATAACTGTATGAGTATGAGTGTTCATCATTATTTACTGTGAAACATCAAAGAATTTGGTGCTTAATTTAAGAAAAAACAGTATGTGATTTTATGGTCATCAATGAACATGAATATTCAAATCTATTATTCCATCCTTACGTAAGTAGGTGTGAAACATCCGAAGCTTATATACCGAAAGTTAAAAAAATTAGGTGCATAGCTATGAAACAGCATAAAAAAAGGGATGAGGTGCTCAACAAATCTTAGCACACAGAAAAAGGATACGAGGAAGTCACAGAACAAGAGTCCTCTTCCACAGGGAGAAATGCCTGCTCAGGCTGCAAAGTCTTCCTAGGTGGCATCGGCGTACTCTGAAATAAATAGCCAGAGTAATTCTGTTAGTATAGCCTCCTATTTCACAAAAGTATACCGCAGAATATTTTCAGACAACAGAATAAATTAGCCATGTTCCCAATTAAATAGAAATGACATGGGTTCAGTTTGTGCAACAATTTTTTAGATGATCCTGTGTGGTAGAAAACTTAAACATGGAAGAAGTCCATGATCAGGTAGCTTCAATGCATAAGATAGAATATGTATGATCTAGCTAGTAAGAATTAGCCCAAAAAAAACACTTGCTGGATAATAAAAAATAACAGAATCAAAACAAGAGGTAATGATATAGGCAACACCAAAATTTAATGAGAAATGTGCAGAAGGCAATGACCATACCTTCTTTGTCAGGCTTGCTGGAGAGATGCTACTTTTATCACCAGATTTATCCTTATTTGCAGATGGATTGGTCACACCGCCATTTACTCCAGATGACCTTTGAGTAGAAAGAGAGAATGGTTGGGGAACAACACATTTAGGCCTCTCCGATCCAGAACTGGCAGTCGCAGACTTTGCTGGGGACTTGGGGGGAGCAGACTTCTCTTGATCAATCAACTTCAGTGAATCTTGATTTACACACTTGTCTTCCTGTGTGTCACCTTCAACATCAGGGTCCTTAATGGAACTAGTTTCCTGGCCTTCTGGGCTATCATAATCATGACTACCACTAATGGTTTCGTCACATCCATCAGTGTTGCCATTCGGATGGCATATAACAACACCATCCGATTCTTCATCTGTAGACATTTCCACAGCCTCTTTCAACATTGGACTGCAGAAAAGAA